ATGAAAGAGAAAACAATTTCTATTTCTGCTCCTTGTTTTTCCCATGTGGAATGTGTTTGGAGAATTGTTTACCTGGGGTGAGTGCTTGGTTGGATTCTGGTGAGGATTATTTGAGCCCGATGGCCAATCCAACCCACCTGGGGCTGGGCTCTCAGAGAGGGTCACGAGCTGTGTTGGAGTTAGAATCAGAGGAAGTAGTATGTAGTTTTAGTATCCTCGTTTTATATAGTTTATATATATATATGTATGTATTTTTATATAATATCAATATATATATATTTATTAATGTATTTTATATATATTTAGATATATATATATGTATTTTATGTATATTAATGTATTTTAGCATAGTTATAATAAAGAAATAATTCAGCCTTCTAAATTGAGTCAGACATCATCATTTCTTCCCATTGGGTTCACCTGCATTTACAATACTGAGTACCCACAAATCCTCCAGGTTGTAAGAACAAGGCCCCAAAAGTGCCACCTCAGCAGAGCAGAGGCCTTGAGGAGGCCGGGGGACAGCAGGCACTGTCGTCTGGGCACATCTCCAGTGGCCCAAGCTCAGTGGTGATGGCCACAAGAACCAGCCCAGAGAATCAGCTGCTGAAACCACTGCCACTGCTGCTGCTGCCTGGTGGCACTTAGGGACACAAATAGCCTCTCTTTGTGACATGGGTGTCATCAGTGCTCTCTGCACCTCCTGGCTCGCTGCAGGACCTGCCAGTAGAGTCCCACCGCCTGTCCCCAGCACCCCGAGGTGCTCCAGCCCCCTTGTCAGCTTCGTGGCTTCCTCTGGACTTGTTCCAAGGACAGTTCTGTGTCCTTCTCATGCTGGGAGCACCAGAACGGTGCTGAGAATTCCAGCTGGGATCTCCTGGGAGCAGAGCAGGGGTGGCCGTGGCTCAGTCCCTGGTTGTGCTGGGTGTGGTTTGACTGCTCTGAGCTGGGAAAGCCTTGGAATATAAAAAGGAGTGGGGGAAAAGTAGGAAAACAAGCAAAAGTGGATGGGAGATTTTCTTCCAGGCCACTGACAACCCCTGAGAGGTCAGACCCTTCCTGCCTCATGTCCTTCTGATGGATTTAGTGTGGGAATCCAGAGCTTCCCTCTGGCTGCCCTGGCAGGTCTGGGACCCTGGCAGGGGTCAGGAACCCCCCTGGACAGAGCCCCCAGAGACACTGGCTGTGATCTCTACCCATGGAAAAGTTTTCAATCTTACAGGATGAATTACAGGCTCTGAGTGGTTGATATCAGTAATATTTAAGTGTGGCACAGGTGCAAAAGTAGAATTTTAGGTTTCTAGATTAGGGGTCCAAAGGGGACAAGATGGAGGAAATTGGGTGTGCCTTGTCCTTTTTCTCCTTCTTCATGCCCTCCATGTCTCACTGTGGTGTTGGCATTTTTCTGTTGGTTCAGGCTGGGGACACACTGTCCAACGTAGGTGACAGATATTGGCACGTTCTTGTCAATCCAGCCCAGGGAGTTTCTGGTATTTAATGTTTGTCACATCCCACTGAGGGCAGAGCCCCACACGCTGCCCTGCAGGACAGAGCTGGGCAGGGCAGCAGAACATGTGAGAGATAAACAGAATAAACAACCTGGAAACCAGCACAGACCAATTCTGGCTTCTGCTTTGGCAGCAGGGCTGAAAGACAGAGGCTTTCTACAATCTCGGGATCATCAATAGCTCAGATTCCGACAATTTAGGAACAAGATGATCTCCTGAGCTGCAGGGAGAAGAGGGAACAGTGTAGGATCATAGGTTCGCCTGAATTCCATGGAGAAATGTGAGATTTGGAGGTGTATTTTTGACAGGCCCAAAGCTTTCTGTGCCTTCGTGGTTGCCAAACATTTCACTGCTGGCCAAGGAGGGAACAGCCCAGTGGGTGAAGGGAAAATCACTTGGAAAATCTTTTCTGTGGGTTCAGAGAATTCCTCAGGGCTCTGAAACAGAGGTCAGGGAGCCCAGAGCTGCTTTTGGTCCCATTTTTGTGCTGCTGAACAAAACCTGAGAGGAATGGAAAGGTCACTTTGTGCTTGTGCTGTGTACAACTGATAACCAGGATAGGGGTCCTGGTGAAAGGATAGGAGTCCTGGTGATAAGATAGGTGTGTTGGTGATAAGATAGATGTGCTGGTGATAAGATAGGTTGGGAGGAGCTAGATCAGCCTGGGGGATGTGATGAGGTGTCACAGTGATGATCAGATGGGTACCAACACTGTCACGTTATCGCTGTGAGATGAAGTTCAGGGGTGAAGTTCATCCCTTCCCTCACGACACAGAGAGTGGAAAATTCCAAAGATTTGGGTAAAACAGAGGGAGATGGATGAGAGCAGGGAAGAAGGGAAGGGAGGAAGAAAAGAGAGGATTTGTGGAAGTTTCTGGAAGAGCAGCAGCTGCCACAGAGCTCTGAATCTGTGCTCTCCAACTGCTGCCTTCATCAGTGACTTATCCAAGCCCAGAGCCCTGGGATCACACAGGGAAGGGGCTGCAGGTCCAGCAGGGAGTTCCACCTGCAGCAGGAAGGAGGAAGAGAGGCAGGGCTGGATAAATCCCTGCTGTGGATGGACGCCTGGAGACCTGGAGATGTTCCCCCTGAGGGGGGCTGAGTCCCTCTGGAATGGCAGAGTGGGGATGATCAGGGTCTCAATTCCAAGGAAATTTCTCTCAGGGGTGACTGTCAGACCCTGCACATCCCAAAAGCAGGAATCACAAAGATTCACAGGAGTCCTGTGACTTCAGGTCCAGCTTGTCTCACTCCTTTTTCCCCTTCCAGCAATTCCTGATATTTTTCAATGCTCTTGGAACAGGGAGCTTCCAGCCCAAACCCTCCCCAGCTCAGGCAGGAGAAACCTTTCCCTTGGTCCTCTGGCATAATCCCAAGGGATTTGTGTCCTGTCTGTCAGGGTGTGGATAAACTCAAAACTGTCTCCAGATAAAGCAGCAGTTTCTCTGGGAATTCTTCTCTGGTGCTTTCCTTCCTTGTTTGGAAAAAAAAAAAAAAAAATAGCAGCGTCCAGTGAACCGAAAATTTATTGCAAGAAACCATTTCAAAGCCGAAAATGGATTTGCTTGAAAAACAAAGTCTAAACAAAATGTTTTGGCAGTGGCTTTCAAGCAGTAAACACATTGAGCCTCCTCTTTTCCAGCTAAAGAGCTGCTTTCTCTGGGAGGAAAACATGACAGAGAGGAGAATTTTTTTCCCCGTGTCTGCACTAAGTGACTGAACAAACAGAGAACAAGGCAGGTTCTCCTGGACACCTGCTTTCCTCTCTGCTGGGAGGGATAATGCATCCAGAATTCAACATTCTGGACAAGGGGATGGGGTTGAAAGAGAAAATGCCATGTTGGTGTCGCTGGAGGCTTCTGTCTAAGCAAGGAAATTTAGGACTTGTTTTTCACCAAACCTGGCTCAGTGTCTGCTGGGACAGAGATTAATTCAGATATTGAAAGGTTAATCATCTGAATGCTCCTTGTTTTCAGCCCAAATCCCACTCTCACCGAGGCTTTTGGCTATGCCCTGGCCTGAGGCTGTTTGTTTTCCCCCAGGACAAGGTGCTGGGGGGGAGCTGCTCTGTGGCTGTAACTACCAGGAGATGGTGAGAGATAAATTCTCGTGTTGCTGCATCGCAGGGCTCCCACCTCCTCCTTCCTCCGCTGCCCCAACCTTCACAGCCTCTGTTCTCTGCAGCACAGCCCCCACCACGGGCCATCCCCTGCACCGGGCCAGGTGGGATCCACCCCAGACCCAGCTGAGCAATTTTTTTTTGCAAGAAAACATGCAAAAAAACCTTCCAGCTGTGCAGCAAAACCAGCCCAAAGATTGCCAGGTTGGGCAAGGGGAGCATCAAGGAGGGAAATCCTGGCTTAATAGAGAGAAATTACATTTATTTTCTTGTCAGCCTGTTGGAAATGATGAAATTATTAAAATAAGCTTTAGTTAGTTAATCGTAACCAATATATTAATTATAGAGAATGTGTTATTCTTAAATTGCCCTTAGCATATAGCAAAGCTCCTTTTGTGGGAACACAGCCTGGAAGAACAACTAAAACTGTAAAGTTTGTTGAGCTAACCTTGATATGCTGCAATGAACATTCACTGCTTTGTTTGCTAAAAATGCATAAAAAGGTGAGGAGGTTTTAGATCGGGGGCTGTGTGGAGGCTGGGTTTTGTCAGCCCCATCCACACCCAGAGCTGAGAATAACGCCATTTTCTAACACTAAAAATGCAGCATTGGAGGGTTCTCTTATCCCGCGGGGTTTGGGGCTTTTGGCAGCCTGAAGCAGTTGCCAGCATCTCTCAAAGTTCAATGATCCGAGCCATGGGATGTTCAGAACATAGAATAGTTTATTTATAGGGTGACCAGTTTTTAAGCTTGAAAAACAACATTTTGTCAGCACAGAGGGGCCAGGTGGGATCCAGGAGCTGAGGAATTGGTCCTGGAATTGTTTGGGAACCACCTTGGAGGGCTGGATGACACCTGCTGAGAGGTGCAGGGGTACAAACCAGTGGGACCAGCTCTGTCCCACTGCTCCTCCCCATCCCACTTGCAAACCAGCTGCTTCTTGCCCTAATCCAAAGGGAAAAGGCCACCACGAGGTGGCTCCATGTGCTGTGTCCCACCCCGTGCAAGGCCCACCAGAAACGTGCACTTGGTGGTTTCCTGGGGAAGCATTCTTTGTTAAGGCATCTGGAAAAAAATCCTGATTTTCTGGACCCAACACGGTTCATCCTCCGTGAGCCGGGAGGCACAAAGCTCTGGGATTCTGGGACAGCTTTGGAATCGGGTGGGAAGGAGCTCTGGCAGTCTGGACTCCTGGGCTGGGTCAGGCTGGAGGAGCTGGGGGGCCCAGCCGGGTGTCCCTGTCCGTGGGGACACCAACGTCCCCCTCATCCTCATTCCGCAGCTGCCAAGGAGCATTTGAGAGATTAAAGCAAAACTTCACAAAGAGCCTTTCCAGGTCCATTCGGGGCAGGTGGAGCAGAGGAGAAGGAGTCTCAAGGAAGAGCTGCTTTGGCCCTGTCCCCTGTGTCTGGCCCATTTTCGGGCTTGGCAGCAATGCTGTAGTAGTAGGAGCGGATGGAGTTTTCCACAGCCACAAATCCTGGACGTTCTTCCCATCTGCAAGGGCAGAGAGGAACAAATAAAGTCATCAGAGAGGACAAAGCTGGCCTGATGCAACGAGAGGACACAGAGACCCCGGGGGAGAGCTGCAGCCTGGCTGTGCCAGGGCTCAGGAGGCAGCTGAGACTTTTCAGGGACAGAGAGGGTCAAAGACACCGAGCCTTGGGGATCTTCCAGGATTGGCACAGGCAAATGAGGGGATCTGATAATAAAAAAATCATCTTGAGCTGAGGAATCATCACAAACAAAGGCAGGAGGCACCATTTGCTTTGTGTTGTCACAGTGTGGTGAAAGTGTCCCTGCCTGTGGCAGAGGGCTGGACTGGATGGGCATTAAGGTCCTGTCCAACCCAAATTTCCAGTCCCGTTCTGGGATTTGGGACCCTGATGGAACTGACAGCGTGGTGAAATGCTCACCTGTATGTCCAGCACTGCTGCATCAGGGCGTACATCTCTGCTGGGCACTCCTGGGGACAGTCCATGCGCTTGCCCTGCTCTATGAAGCTGATCACCTCAGGGCCCTTCATTTTCTGGGATGGGAGCAAGGGGAAAGGGATTAGTGTGTTCAGAGCTGGCAGCAGGGGTAGAGGAGGCAGGTTAGAGCTGGGCCTGGGGTGGGGCTTTGTCCCATACCCCCCACACCTGGCAGTCACTGTCCCACCCCAGCAGGCAGAATGGGTGTCTCACACTGTGCCAGGCCATCCCATAGACCCCATCCCAGCCACCCTGCAGATCCCATCCCACAGATCCCATCCCAGCCACCCTGCAGATCCCATCCCACAGATCCCATCTCAGCCACCCTGCAGATCCCATCCCAGCCACCCCACAGATCCCATCCCACAGATCCCATCCCAGCCACCCCACAGATCCCATCCCACAGATCCCATCCCAGCCACCCATCCCATCCCATCCCATCCCATCCCATCCCATCCCATCCCATCCCATCCCATCCCATCCCATCCCACCTCCAGACTCCATCCCACCCACCCTGCAGACCCCATCCTACCCAGCCTCCACCCTCCACCCCTTCCACCCTGCAGATCCTATCCTGCCAATCCTGCAGACCCCATCCCACCCACCCTACTCACCCCATCCCTCCTGTCCTACCAATTCCACCCCACCCACTCTGCCCACCCCATCCCACTCACCCTGCAGACCCCACCCCACCCAAGCACGGGCCTAGCAGTGGATATAAAGTGATTTTTTTATCTCTCAAGTGAGCAGAATGATCAAAGAGAAGAAGGATCAAAAAACTCTGCTTTGATTCAAACCCAATTTTGATTAGAAGAAATTGGGTTTGAAATTGATTAGATTAGAAAATCTTCTAATCAATTTGAAATTGATTAGAAAACAAAATTTTGTTTGTTTTTTATTTCTTCTCTCTTAAAATGAGCACAAAGCTGCAGGATCCACCCAAATTTGTGCCTTTTCCTAAGTGGAATGGGGTTGTATCACCCATGGGTGACAGAGCCAGCTCTGTCTTGCCTTGTAGGGTCCCTGCCTCATCTTGTAGGGTTTCTACCTCATCTTGTAGGGTCCCTGCCACACCTTGCAGGGTTCCTGCCACACCTTGTAGGGTCCCTGCCACACCCTGTAAGGACTCTGTCTCACCTTGTACGGTTTCTGCCCAAAGCTGAAGGCCTCCCACATGGTCACACCGTAGCTCCAGACGTCACTCTTGCTGGAGAACTTGTGGAAGAGGATGCACTCGGGGGCGTACCACTTCAGGGGCCACTTCCCTGCTGTCCTGGCCTGCAGCAGGGCAAGGAGGAACATTTGCAGCCTGAGACACGGAGTGCTGGGACCTGTGCCTGAATTCTGCTTGGTGTTTGTGTCAAACCTCATTTTGCTGAAAAAAACACCTGAAATGGGAGCTTCAAAGCCCAGTCCAGGCCCTGCTGTCCTGTTGTGCAGGTGCTGAATGCCCACAGTGCCACCTTCCTCCTGCCACCTGCCCCCAGGACTCAGTTAAACCATGGAATCATGGAATGGTTTGGGTGGGAAAGGACCTCAAAGCCCACCCAGTGCCACCCCTGCCATGGCAGGGACACCTCCCACTGTCCCAGGCTTCTCCCAGCCCTGCCCAGCCTGGCCTTGGGCACTGCCAGGGATCCAGGGGCAGCCACAGCTGCTCTGGGCACCCTGTGCCAGGGCCTGCCCACCCTGCCAGGGAACAATTCCTGCCCAATCTCCCATCCAGCCCTGCCCTCTGGCACTGGGAGCCATTCCCTGTGTCCTGTCCCTCCAGGCCTTGTCCCCAGTCCCTCTCCAGCTCTCCTGGAGCCCCTTCAGGCCCTGCCAGGGGCTCTGAGCTCTCCCTGGAGCTTCTCCTCTCCAGGGGAGCACCCCCAGCTCTCCCAGCCTGGCTCCAGAGCAGAGGGTCTCCAGCCCTGTGACCAATTTGTCTGGACTCATTCCAGGAGATCCTCATCCTTCTTGTTCTGGTGGCCCCACAGCTGGACACAGAATTCCAGGTGGGGTTTCTCCTTTAGCTGAGCACTGCTGGGAAGATCAGCCCTGGCTCACTCCTCATCACCTTCTCTTCTCTTGGCTCCTCTTATCCCCCTGGCTGCCTCTGCATCCTCCTTGTCACCAGAGCTCTGCAGAGCCCCTTTTAATGTCACAGCAGTGAGGCACAGCCTGATGTGCAGAGGGGTCTGTGAGCAGCCCAGGTCCTCAACTCTCCGTGGCTCTCATCCTCCCAGCCAGGAGGGCTCCTGCTCCAGACCCTTTGCTGTGCTCACACCCACCTTGTAGTAGCTGTCATCAGCTCCCAGAGCCTTGGAGAGCCCAAAGTCACTGATCTTCGCATAGTGCTGGTTCACCAGCAGGACATTCCTGGCTGCTAGGTCCCTGTGGACAAAGTTCTTCTCCTCCAGGTACTTCATCCCCATGGACACCTGGTGCATCAGCTCCACGATGTTGCTCGTTGTAATCTCGTCCCTGGGGAGGTGAAAGGAGAGCTCAGTAATAAAGGACCTGCTGTGCTCCCCTCTGACTTTTCCAGCTGCAAGGGAGAAGGAGCATGGAGATCTCTGCTCCAGAAGCATCAGCCCCTGGAGCATCACATGAAAGATTTCCTTCTGCTCTTTTCAGCTTTCCTGCACCTACAAGGGTGTGAATAAATTATTTCTCTCCAGAGAGGGAGAAAGCTAGAGAAGTTTTCTCAGAATCAGCCTGGGAAGCTTTAGGGAGTTGGAGATAAACAATGATAGCCAAATATTAAAAACAATCTGCAGGTGGTGTTTTTCTAATAATCTGTTTTTCTGGTTTTTCTCATAAGATAGTTTACAAATAGGTGTCTTGTTAATTAGCCAATAATGTGAAATGTATTGATTAAATGACCAGTCAGGTCCACCTGCAGTGAACTAAGCTATAAGAGAGGATGAAATAAAGGAGGTTTTTGCCACTTTGCTTCCTGATCTGACTGGGTGTCATCTCTGACTCAGTGGTGACACAAGGGTGCAGGGCTTTTGAAGTAGATTTTGAGAAGAAACACAGGAAATCAGTCACGTTTTATCCAACACTCACTTCTTGGAAGCCAAGAACCTGTTGAGGGGCCCTCCAGAAGCCATCTCCATCACGAGCATCAGCGACTCGGCCTCGCACACCCCGATCATTCTGACAATGTAGGGGTTGTCCAGCTGGTGCATGATCTGAGCTTCCTTCATCATCTCATCCTTCACTGTCTTCTCGTTGTTGCTCTTCAGCACCTTGATGGCCACGTCGATCTGCTTCCTGCACAGGGGAACAGCGTGGGATGGGCTGAGCACAGCTGGAATCAGGGCTCACAGCCAGGAATGGAAATCCCTTCTCCTGTGACAGTTTGCCCTCTCAACAGCCTGTTCTGGCAGGGCTCTGCACCATCCTTGTGTCCCAGGATGGAGAGAAAATGTCACCTCACCCTTGTGGGTGAAGCCAGAAGTCACATCCCTGATCTGGAGATGAGACACCTCCCCTCCCACACTGAGATCTGGGTATCAGTGCCATTTTTCCAGGAGGAAACAGAGGCACAAGTGGGTAAAGACCATCACAGACAAACAGCAACAGAGCCAAGGGTGGCACAACTCAGTGTCACTGCTTCGGCCTGACATGGACAGAGGTGGCCTCAGGAAGGTGGAGTTGTTCCTCTGAGCCCAGCAAGTCCCTTTGGAAGTGGCAGCTGTGTGCCTGGGAATGTGGTGCAGCTTACACACCTGAGGCAATGCAGCTGTTGGGAAAAACCAATGGGAAGCCATGGAATTACAGCATCATAATATCCTGGGATCACTGAGGTTGGGAATGACCTGCAAGATCATCAAGTCCAACCCCTGACAGAACACCACCATCCCCACTAAACCCCACCACAAAACCTGCTCATTTTCTGAACACTTCCAGGCGTGGTGCCTCAACCATCACATCCATCATCCCTGACCTTCCAGATCATTTCTAATCCACTCCAGTGTCACTTTGGGGCCCATCTAGAGATAAGCTGGGGATACCTCAAGCCCAGCTTTGGGAATCCAGAGCTTCCCTCTGGCTGCCCTGGCAGGTCTGGGAACCTGGCAGGGGTCAGGAACCCCCCTGGACAGAGACACTGTCTGTGATCTCTGTCCATGGAAAAGAGTTTTCAATCTTGCAGGATGAATTACCAGCTCTGAGTGTTTGATATAAGTAATAATTAAGTGTGGCACGGGTGCAAAAGTAAAATTTTAGGATTCTAGATGAGGGGTCCAAAGGGCACAAGATGGAGGAAATTGGGTGAGCCTTGTCCTTTTTCTCCTTCTTCATGCCCTCCATGTTTCACTGTGGTGTTGGCATTTTTCTGTTGGTTCAGGCTGGGGACACACTGTCCAACGTAGGTGACAGATATTGGCACGTTCTTGTAAATGCAGCCCAGGGAGTTTCTGGTATTTAATGTTTGTAACATCCCACTGAGGGCAGAGCCCCACACGCTGCCCTGCAGGACAGAGCTGGGCAGGGCAGCAGAACATGTGAGAGATAAACAGAATAAACAACCTTGAAACCAGCACAGACCAATTCTGGCTGATTCTTTGGCAGGGGGCTGACAGACAGAGACTTTCTACAACCTCAGAATCATCAATACCTCAGATTCCGACACCCAGCCAGCTCCCTCTCCTTCCCCCTTCCCCAGCACCCTCACTCACTTCCTCATTTTGTACACTCCCTTCTTGACGCAGCCGAAGTTTCCTGCACCCAGCTCCACCTCATCGATCATCAGGTGGTCCCTCTTCAGGAAGAGCTTCTTGTCCTTCAGCTCCTCGGGGTCGCTGTAGGGGCTCTCGTAGACACTGGTGTCCATGGGCAGCAGGCGGGATTTTCCTGCCCCTTCCCAAGAGGAGCGCTTGGTTATAACCCTGTCCTTCCCCATCCCGCTGGCCCTCATGGATTGGGAAGGGTTTTTCTGCTCTTTTGGCCAATTCACCTTCACCTCCAGCATTTCTGGTCCCTCTTGGGTATCTCCCTTCCTTTCACAACCCAGGGCCCCTCCCAGGCTTGGTTGTTGAAAGAGAGAGGGGTCTGAGCATTCCCACTCCACATATCAGCCCTGCCAGCCCTGGGCAGGGCTTTACCCACTGAAATTTAGTTGAATCCACTGAAAAGTGCAAATTGTAGTGAAAAAAGGGGATAAGACAGGGCTTCACTTCCTGGCTAAGGCAAGGAATGGGGTAGGGCTTGATTTCCTGGGAGCCCCATGTGGGTGCAGTGCCCCGAAGTGTCTGGGTGCTCCTGGGTGCTTCTGTAAGAAAGGGGCTTTGTAGCAGGGCTCCAGGGAAGCCCTGGGCTCCTGGGACATCCCCAGTCCTGTTCCCTGTGAGGAGGAGAGGGCTCTGGAGCTGCTCACCGACAGGGTCTGGGGTGTATCCGTCTGCATTGAGAGGCCCCAGGTTTCTCTGGAAAAGAAACGAGGAGAAGGTGGATAAAGGAGAAAGTGGATAAAGGAGAAAGTGGATAAAGGAGAAATTGCTTCAATGCAAATGGAGGGGAAAGGGACAGCGAAACTGCACCCCAACACAACCCCAGCTGGTGGGGTGGGATTGGAGTGGTCTGGAGCCAACATTCTGTTCCAGTCCAGTTCCCCCAGGGCACAGCAGGGATCGGAGCCAGGGACCCTGAGCAGGTCCCTTCTCCAGGGCTGTGCAGGGCTCTCTGTCCCCTCTGCTGTCCCCATCTGAGCCACGACTCACAGTCTGCTCACTGAGCCAGGGAGGGGAGGGAAGCCTGGAGGCAGTAAGGGAGAGTGGCCTTGTGAACACACAGGGACACTGCACAGCCACTGTCTCCACAGCAGAGAGTGACAGGGTGGCACAGCTTGGAATGGCAGTCACAGAATCCCAGAGCTGGAAGAGATTGGGAAGAACAACATTTGCCAGAGCTGGGAAGAGCCTGGGAAATTCCATAAGGAGGCCAAAGGAAAGCCAAAATCTGCAGCCTGAGCAGGGCATGTGGAGTGCAGCGCTGTTGTTGGGGCAGCCAGGAAGGATTTTGGGCCCTGATGTGTGGGGTAAATCCTGAGATTTAAAGCAGATCCTTTCCCAGAGGAGCTGCAGGGTTTGTTCCGTGCATCCCAGGCACTTTGGGATGGGGACATCACTCAGCCTGGGGACACCCAGCCAGCCCAGGGACACCAGGCTGTCCCTTCCCCTCCTGCCTGGCTCAGATTTCAGCTGCAGTCAGAGCCTGGCACCATTCTGTTGCCATAAAAATGCCCCAAAATCTGATAGCAGCACCACTGGATCCAGCAGTGTATAAATAAATTGTTTTGTGTATAAATAAATAGAGGGGACATCACTCAGCCTCACAATTTGCTGAGCTGGAAGGGACCCTCAGGGATCATCAGCACAGACACCCCAACAACCCCACCCTGAGCATCCCTGAGAGAATTTGGGAGGAGCGTTGTTCAGGCACAGTTCCATCCCCGAGCTGAAAGCACAGAGGGACAATCAGAGCTGAGAAAGGGTGAGGGGAGAGAGAGCTCAGGAGGGGAGGGATCAGCCGCTGCCACTGGCGGCTCTGCTGAGGGGATAAATCTGGGTCTGCTCTGGGTGAGAGAAAGTGCTCTGAAATCCTTCCCAGGCTGGGAAACACATCCTGGTTCTAAGGTCACTCTGGAAGTGTTGATCTGAGGGTTCATAGATCATGGAATATCCTGAGTTTGGAGAGACCCTCGGGGATCATCAGTCCCCTGCCCAGACCCCCCAACAGCCCCACCCTGAGCAGCCCTGAGAGCGCTGTCCAAACGCTCCTGCAGCTCTGGCAGCCTCGGGGCCGGGACCATTCCCTGGGGAGCCTGGGCAGTGCCAGCACCCTCGGGGGGAAGAACCTTTCCCTGAGCTCCATGCCAAGGCCTGGCACAGCTCCAGCCCTCGCTGGGCTCCAGGAGCTGTCCCAGAGCAGAGCTCAGCCCCTGCCCCTCTGCCTCCCCTCGGGAGGAGCTGCAGCCCCGAGGAGCCTCCCCTCATCTCCTGTGCTCCAGCTGAACGAGCCAAGTGCCCTCAGCCGCTCCTCAGACCTTCCCCAGCTCCGTGTTCCTCCTTGGGACACTCTCCAACAGCTTTGGACCTTTCAGGGTCTATTGCCCAGCACCCTGGAGGACACTGTGGGTTCTGAAAGCGCCCTGGGGTGATGGGCGAGCCCCCGGGCCTCAGTCAGCCCCCCTGGGACCCCAGAGCCGCAGCTTTCAGCACAGCTCAGCGCTGGGGACTGAGCAGGGCCATTCCCCAGGGCAGGGCCAGCACAAAGCCCTGGCCGGGGGCCAGTGGGAGCAGCAGGGCTGAGCATTCCCAAAATCCCAGCAGCTCCTGCCTGGCCAGCGGGGCAGGGATGGAGGGTCCCCAAGGACAGCCCCACATGTTGCATCCTTGGAAACCCTTCTCAGCTCTACCAGCGGCTGTGCCCGGCTATTCCCCACCCACATCCAAGCTGGAAAGGGAACAACATCCCAGCTGGGCTCAATAAAAGTCCAGCGCAGTTCCTGAGCTTTTAGACAAAAGCAGGGTTTGAAGAGCAGGGTTTGATCAGCCAAGCTTGAAATGCAGCAATATTAAAACCGCTGAGTTCCCAGTTAAACAAAGCCTCCCCCAAACTTACGCTCACGGAGGGGTGGGTGGGTGGAACTGGTGCTGCAGAGGCTGCAAAACAGGAGAGAGGATTTGTTACCAGCACTTTGTTATCAGCACTTTATCAGCACTTTGCCCAACCAGGACCAGACCGTGTTCCTTGAAGAACCCTGTGGGTCTGGTCACGTCCCCTCTGCCCCCCAAAGAAAAATTTCCACAGCTTTAGGCTAAAAAGGTGTGGAAATGTGTCTGGATGTGGCTGTTACTCCCAAATTCTGGCAGGGCAAGTGCCAGCACTGGAGCACCCCATGGGTCAGGGCCAGAGACTGGCAGAGCTGAGCCCCAGGACAGGGCAGGCTCTGAAGTGACATTTGTGACACGTGGAGCCAAAGGAAAATTCCCTTCACGGAAAGGGAAATTTGGGCTGGCACTGCTCCAGCTGGCACCAGCTGGTGGCAAACCAAGGCCAGGGTGGCACCGAGGGGTGTCAGCTCACCTGGCATGTTGGGGTTGGGGCAGGCTTCCCTCAGGTAGAAAATCAGCCCGTCCGGTTTGAGTTTTAAGTACTCCACCAACTGGGAAAGGGATGGGAGGAAAAAGAGATTATTGTGAGGAAGGAAAAAAACCTCAATATATAATATAATGTATAATGTATAATGTATCAGATATCAGATATCATATATCAGATATAAGATATAAGATATAAGGTATAATATGTAATATGTAACATGTAATATGTAATATATAGTATGTAATATGCAATAGGTAATAGGTAAAATATAATATAATATAATATAATATAATATAATATAATATAATATAATATAATATAATATAATATAATATAATATAATATAAATATAAATATAATATAATATATTGATATTATAATATATAAGCCTACATATTTATATGTTATATACAATATATAAAAAAAAACTTAATATGATACCTAATCTATTATTATATATAATATATAATCGATTATATATTATAATAATATATTATTATATTATTATCTATTATATATATTTAATGTCATGCTTTTAATATATCTAATTATATATATTATTATCTATATTATACATTATATATTATATATCATTAATATAATATATATCGTTATTATTATACATATTTTCATAATTATAATTATAATTATGATGATTATAATGATAATTATAATTATGATGATGATGAAGATGATGATGACGATGATGATGATGATTATGTTTTTTTGTTTTTTTTTTTTTTGCAACTTTTGTGGCTTGGGGCAATGAATCCTTTCAGATTTATGGCAGACTGTTTCTGTTTCTGTGTTCTATTTGTGCACTTCGGGGTGTCCCAGGGTGTGATGGCATCCCTGGATATCTGCCAGAGCTGGGAAGAGCCTGGGAAATTCCATAAGGAGGCCCAAGGATAGCCAAAATCTGCAGCCTGAGCAGGGCATGTGGAGTGCAGCGCTGTTGTTGGGGCAGCCAGGAAGGATTTTGGGCCCTGATGTGTGGGGTAAATCCTGAGATTTAAAGCAGATCCTTTCCCAGAGGAGCTGCAGGGTTTGTTCCGTGCATCCCAGGCACTTTGGGATGGGGACATCACTCAGCCTGGGGACACCCAGCCAGCCCAGGGACACCAGGCTGTCCCTTCCCCTCCTGCCTGGCTCAGATTTCAGCTGCAGTCAGAGCCTGGCACCCTTCTGTTGCCATAAAAATACCCCAAAATCTTTGTTTTCAATAAAATTCCGAGTGAAAACAGCCCCGGGAAATCAGAAAATTAGGCAAAATGGGGTTGTTGTCACTCAATCAGCCCTAGCCAGGAGAAAGCTCTGACATCCACTCCCTGGAGAATTTTAGTTAATGGTTTAACTCTTAAATGACTTCTTTTAATTAATTAATGCCAACCAGTATATGTATTATTAATAAATATTGTGTTATTCTTCAATTAAACTCAGCCAGCACGGATCAAGGTTGTCATGAGCTACTTTTGCAGGAGCACAGCTGGGGAAAATGACTGGAATTTTAAGTTTTGATAAACTGACTCTGATATACTGCAATGAACAAAGCCTGGGAGAGAAAGATGGATTGAGGCTGGACATCTGGAATGCAGAATTTATGGATCACAAAGAGGCTTTGGAGAAGCCAGAAACAAAAAAGAGACTAAAAAAGATTCAGTTTAAGCATTGGAGAGTCCCTGCTAGAGGAAAAAAAAGACTAAAAAGATTAAAAATACAGTCTAACTAGCAGAAAAAGAGAGAAATTAATAACCAAAAGAGGATAGAATGGTAATTAATGAAAGATAATTAACACAGAATCATGGATTATTCTGAATTGGAAGGGACCCCTGAGAATCAATGGTGATGATTCTTAATTATTAAGTGATGGGATCAAACCACAAGCAAAATGTTATGATGTCATTTAGAACTAATGAACATTAATTTATTTTTCTATATAAGTAAGTTTAATAAATAAAATAATTTTATATAAATACAGTTTCTACAATATAAATATCTATTTCTATATAAAATGTATATAAATTTATATTTTAATATATGTTTATATTTCTATATAATATATATATCAATAAATATATAAATTATATCTAAATATTTCTAGTTTATATAATTTTATATAAATATAAATGCACAATTAAGTAACAAAGTTTCGGATCAGGGTCTGTGTGGAGGCCAGAATTTTCTCAGCCATGCACACAAACCCTACCCATGAATAAAATAACTCCTTATTCCCTGACACTAAACTGATGCTGTTAGAGGGGTTTCATTGATCCCGAGGATTTGGAGGGATTGGTAACGCGTCCAAGCAAGGAGAAGGTGCCGCAGATTCTCGGTACCTGCCAGAGGGTGTCGAACTTGGTGCCCTCAGGAATGGAATATTTCCCGGACTTGTCGTGATCCACCCGGTAGTGGTACACGGTCTTGCCGTAGACGAGGGACAGGGCATAGGCACGGTTCTCCTTCTTTTCCCGCAGCCTGGCAGGAAGGAAAATATTCCTCAATTATTGAAAGCAGCTCGTGGCTTTCCTCTGAGCAGTGGGCACGTGCATGTGGAGAGATGTCCCTGAATTCCTGTTTAAAATTATGTATATATTATACATAAAATTTTAAATAAATAAATAAATAAATAAATAAATAAATAAATATATATATATATATATAAAATATTATATATTATTAAATTATATATGTAATATAAATAAATATATCTAATAGAACTATAATATAATATATATTATTAAATTATATCTATTATATATAAATATATAACTAAATAATGTGTATTATATATCTAAATGTATCTAATAGATAAATTATCAATATTATAAAATTATTCATGTTATATCATGTTATATATAATATATTATATATATAGCATTGATAATTATATTATCCATAATATAATATATAATATTATAATTATATTTTATATAATTATATATATTATTTTATTTATAATTTATCATTATATATATATTATATATATATGATACTTGAATATATATGTTTATTTGTAACATGTTTTCCAAATACAGCATAATTTGAGCTTCTCACCCAAAACTCAAGAGTGTGTTTCACCCTTTTAGATG